GTGTCGACACCTTAGGTGACTTCCAGCACTTTAATACCAAGTCCTTGCTGTTTTGAGGTGGATCCACTTCTATCCTAATTAAGTTTTTTAAAATCATATAAATACTTATTTAAGATCATAATTGAGGGAGGCTTTTGTGAAGAGATTTGTGGTAGTTTTTTTTTGGGTACTCTTAAAAATTAAGATAGAAGAGGTAATAAGGAATTCATAAACAATAAAATTAATGATTTCAATTTTTTCAAATTAAGTTTTGCTTTTTTTAGACTATTTTTATCTATTATTTGATATTTTTATATTCATAATTATAATTTTAAGTTTTAGTATTTCTATTATGAACTAATTTAACCTATTAAGGTTACGAGATAACCTAATCAATTTAATGTAGATATCAAATTTTTATATTTTCAATTAAAATTATTTGCATAAAAAGTTTTTATTATTAAATTTAGGACCTTAATTGGTGCACACCCGGATCCAACATCCGGGTGTGCACCCCCACATAAACAAAAAAATTTGGATCGGGTGGTGATGGGCTTTTTTTATTATCAATGGGGAGTGTGCACACCCGGGTGTTGACCCGGGTGTGCACAAATCATTTTCCGTAAATTTAATACTTTAGAAGTTTGATTATCTTTTAATTGATTATGTAATTTATGCATGAACTCAAAAAAAAATTACATAACTTAAATTAATAACAATATAAACTGTGCTAAATTATTAGATCAAGATGTAATTAGCATTATAAATGGTAGTAGAAGAAGGGAATAGAGTTAAGAGTTCCTCCTTTTTAATCTAGAGGTTTGCATATCATCTAATGTTCATTAGTTTGGTTTAAACTATATAGAGCTATAACTAATTTAATAAATTAATGAAGAATTAACTTGATTTGAAAAAGTTAGTTAATTTAGGTGAATTTTTCATTGCATGCAATAATACTTAACAAATTAGTTTTAGAATTATATTAATCTAAAATTTATATTGATTAATTATGGTGAAATCGAATACCTTAAAATCTCATATCTTGATTATTTTTATTTTGAATGTTGTTTTCTTTTTAATTACTTTGATTTAAACGTTTCTTCTTCTTTTTTTTTATTGTTTAAATAAATTTAAATTAATTATTTTTAGTACTTAATTAATCACAATTCTTTTGGATTTAACATTTTTTTTATTATTATATTACTTTGAGTGACTAGTGCACTTATTAAATTGATTTAGAGTATTAGCTAGAAGTATGGAAACTTGCACGCAAGCAAAATGAAAAGCTGGTTAGTGCATGCGTTGGAGGTTGC